TTTAAAATGTTCAGCAAAATCTTGTTGCAAGGATGGTGAGGACTGTACAAAGCATCAGACCTATGTAGTAAGTGGGGAAAGAAGTGTTGTGCACAGCCAGAAGAACTATGTAAACTGAGTTGATAAAGAATGATCCAAAGGTCCAAAACTATCTGATAAGTTGAAAAGGACAGAAAAGGAAGCAAGACCTTTGGATTTAGCCGCAAGCCAATCATTAATTTTTTTAGAAGGTCAATGTGAGTAGAGTGACCTTAGCAAAATCAACTAAATCAAAAAGCAAGAATTTGAGCAGAGCTAGTATAAACTTGGTAGATGTTTTTTTCTGTTTGGCTGGGGTTTTCTGTGGTTTTGGGTTTTTTTTTAATTTTTTTTGTGTGTATGTGGTTTTCTTTTTTTTAAATTTTATTTTTCATTAGATGACAAAAACTGATAACTAGGAATTAAATAGCATCAAGAAAATTCCTTTTAGAAAATTTAAAAAAATAATCCTGGTGTACTTTTTGGTACAAGAGTAGCGTTTGATGCAATTATGTTACAAATGAGTCCTAACAAGCTGAGTGAGTTAAGAGAAAGTTCTGCAGTTGTATGGAACTGGGTAATGCATGCTTGGTATCATGCCAACTAATACAATTAACTTTTCTCCCAGAATTGTGTAAATTCATGGAGACCTCCCACCATATTATTTATGCTAGGAAGGTGTTTACCTGTGCCAAAAAGGCAAACCRCTGAATGAATAATTACCATGTGGAATAAAACTTGCTTACCTGTCTATCTAAGTMATGTTAAAACTGCAGCTGTTTTGCTGTATTCTAGGACCATAGTTTATSTTTTAATATGTTAGTACTAGTGATGTTTACCTATTTTTGCTATAAGATACGTCTGCTGATTTCACCAGCAGTACCTGCAATCTTGCATACAGATGTTAAATATTGTGTCTGTTCAAGCTGTGCCCCACTGTGTGAGAGGATGGAGGAGTATKGAGCAAGGCACTGCATGGATGATAAAGGCAGAACCAAAAATGTTGAAAGAAAGATACATATTTTTTACCTTAAACAAAATCATTTGAATAAAAGTAATTTTTGCTATGCCTGTTTTTCACTTGGCAACAAGTGATTTAAAAGTGAACTTCTGTGCAAAGTCAAGAAAATGCAGAATAGGCTAAGGGGGATACAGGAAATATGAGTAGAGCTGGTAGCAAACTATTTCATGTTGCAGATGGTTTCTGATAAGATTTTTTGGAGATAAAGTTTGTTGATTTTATCATGGAGAGGTTTTGCAGGCAAACTTAAGTATAGGTCTTCTAATAGCTAACCGGTTTAGGTTTTCATTTTAAGATGACTTTTCATCATATCACAATATGGATTTTGAGAAGCCAGAATTTGAAATTCTTTTGTCTATTCTTGAAACATTCCTTCAGTAATTAAAAAAATTCAAATATTTTTTGGGTGAGTCACAAACTCTTTAGGTTGTAGGCCAAAAATCTGAATTTTTAACATATGAAATACTGGAATTTTTGGTGAAGCTGAGTTTATTTATTTCAGGCTTAATGAAGAGTATGTATATTCGATGACTAAAAATAACTGTAAGATGCACTTCAGCACACTCTTTAGAGAAAAACTTTAAAACGCGACTGGAAATCTTCCAGGTCRGGTTGCTGCTGAAGAAAGCCCTTCGTGGAAATGAAATCCAGGTGTGGTTGGAAGAAACGGTGAGCTCGGGAGCTGTGCCTGCCGGGGCTGC